CGGGGGCGGGGCAGGGCTGAGGGTGGGCGGGGAATCAGCGCCCTCACCGGAAGTTGTGCCGACACTTCGGGCAGTGGAACTCAGCTAGGCCCCACATCTTGTCGGCCGGTACCGGCTCGTAGCGCTTCCGGCATTTCCGGCATCGGGATACCTGGGCGTGTGTGGAAGGAAGCAGGCTCACCGTCAGAGGTGGGTGAACACTGGGACCAGGAGCAGGGCTCTGGGGTTGGGGCCGGGCCAAGCGACCCTGGGCATCTCCTTTTTCCCGCTCCACCATCAGTGACTTCATGTCGGTAGGTAGCTTGATATTGGCCATAGTGGGAATATTTACACCACAGGAATTGGCACATGCCACAAATCAGGGCTCCCCCTCCCCGGAGCCAGTTGTTAAGCACACCATTGGTCGGGGAGAGGAGGTCAGAGGTCAGACTAGGAGTGGTGGTTGTGGGGTCAGTTTTGATTTCTCTGGTAGCTGTCAAACAGTGGAGTTGGGTCAGGCTCCCGGGTAAGGGGTTGGGCTTCTCAGTTGAAGGTCTGAAGTCCTGCTCTGGGTTGGGAGCTGGGATCTGCATCAGTTACAGACATCCTACTCTCCCGGGGGGCCAAGGCCCTGCCTCCCTCTCTGGACCTTAGATTGAGCTCTGAGGTTAATCAGGGGGTCAGGGGTTGGGCTCTTGGAGGTTGATGTTCTTAGGTCAGAGGTTCAGCCATGAGGATGGGGATTAGCAGTTGGATTATAACCTCCTTCCGCTGGGGCACACGGCGCCACCAGACATGGTCACAGGAGGGGCAGGCGAATTGCCGGTCCACGGCGGGGATCAGGTCATCCTGGGCGCGTTGGAACATGCGTAGGTTGGCTTCTGTCAGTGGCAGGAGGGAGGTTGCCACCGCCTGCGGAATGGGGGTGGGTGGGGATGAGAGGGAGGGTCACGTCTCCTCTACCAACATAAACATATGTAAGCCCCCTCAACAGGCATCCCCCACTGAGATGTCCCACCCCTTCCCCATGGATGTTCCCCTACTCCTCCTCCCCCCACTCACACCCTGGCCTTGTCCCAGCCGCCAACTCACCTGGATGTCCTGGTCCTGCTTCATGTCCTCTGGTGGGTCCTGGATGGAGACACCAGGGGCAGAGACTGGGGGTGGGGCTCAGGCCTCTTTGCCACCCTCATTTGTTGGTGGAGGGGCTCCTGCTCTGGAGTCCAGAGAGGGAAGCAGGGCTCTGGCCCACCATGAGAGTAGGGTGCCCCTAACTCATGATGAACTGATTGAGCAGCACCCATTTGAGAGCCAGGTGTATGACCTTGCACCTGTCACCTCAGCTATGCTCACAGCAGCCCTGAGAAGTGTGCACACCTGTTATCCCCATTGCTCAGATAGGAAACAGAGGTTCAGAGCCAGGAGGGGGCTTGCTGGAGATGACCCTGTATGAGTGTGGAAGAGCAGGCCTGGACGCCATGCTCCCTGCCTGCCAGCAGACACAGACTGTGAGCACCCCGTCCTCAGCACACATTTGTTGGCATGGTGACAGGCCTGCCTCTTTGGGGCTGTGCTGCTTTAGCTAAATGCTTGGGCTCTGGATTCAGACAGACGCAGGTTCAAATCCCGGCTCCAACACTTACAGCTGTGGAACCACGGGCCATAATTAGGGGCATCTCAGAGCTCAGGCTCTGGCTCCAGGTGACCAGCGTTCAAATCCCAGCTGCTTGCTTTGTGAACCTGGCAAGTGACTTCATCACTCTGTATCTCAGTGTCCTTTTCTGTAAAATGGGGAGGATACCTAATAGGCTTTCTCTTGTGGGGTCATGGGGTCACCGTGAGGCTGTAATCAGTCAACACTTTTAACTCCTCCAGCCCTGCCGATGCGAAGTGCTCAGTCAGTACTCCCCTTTGCTATTATTTTTATCACTTGTCAACAACTCTATGCTGGGCCTTTCAGCAGGTGAAATTCACAGTCCACCAGCCACGAGAGCCATCTTTCTAAGAGGCAGAGCACCCTGGTCACACCCGTGCTTCAAAGCCTTTCATTCATTCATTCAACACAGGGGCTCCCTGCTGCTCTCTCCTCCTCCATCTGCTCATCCCAGCCTTTGTGAGTGCCCCTGTCTCACCTCTCAGCCTTTGCTCAGGCCATTCCCTCTTCCATCCCCTCTGTCCCCTGTCTTCCCAGGACTCACTCCTCGCTATCCTTTAAGACTTGGCAACACCTCCTCCAAGAAGGCTTCCCTGACCTCCAGCGTTGTCCCTTACTGACATTAATCCTGGCTTGTGTCACTGCCCACTTTTGTGTCTATCTCCCTGATTTAATACAACCAGCATGTATTGAGTGCCTCCTGTTTGCCAGCTCCCTGGCTGGAAGCACAGTGGAGAGGTGAATACATAAATGAAGTTGGACCATGAATGGATGGACATTGCCCAGTCCCTCCTGCTCCCTAGGGGGCTCTCCGTGGGTGGGCCGTCCCCTCTGTTCTCCCTCCCCTCACCCTGTCCTTGAGGGGAGGAGGCAGGTTACCTGGGTAGGCAGGCCATTGCTCAGTTCTTGTCCATCTTTCTGCTTTACCTCTGGTCGGGAGAGAACGCCTAAGTGAAGGGCCCCTGAAGCGCTATGGGAGTTTCAGGCCCCCCTGAGCCCAGCAGAGACCTTTCCTGAGGCTGGGGCTCCACAGGAGATGGTCTCAGCGCCTCTTCCCACCCTCGGCGCTCCCACGCGCGGCCCTCCAGGTCCGGGACCCCCGCCGGCTCACCGTACACGATGGAGCGCCCCACTCCAGTGTGGTCGCTGCCAAACTTCCTCATCAGAGCCCCTGCCTTGCGGGAAGACACCTTCCCATGAAACTTCTCCCGGAGGCGCCGGACGCTCTTCTCCAGCTTGGACGCGGACAGAAGGGCTCTGGTGGGGGAAGGAGAGGCGCAAACGCCCCTCGCCCGTCCCCAGGCACCATGCACCCGGCCTGAACTTGACCCTCTGGTTCGGCCTCCGCCGCCCCCCCATCCTTCTACGGCATTTCCTGGAAAAAGCCAAAGTCCCCACCGGACATTGGGGGATGGAGCGGGGAGGGACTGGGGCAAGCGTCCCAGGCTAAGGGAAGGCCGGCCAGGTAACCTCTGGCCTTTGACCCCTGACCCTGCAGCCCCCGCTCTTCCTCGGGGACGCCGCATTTCGCTCTAGAGAATGTGGGGGCTCACTCTCCTTTCCGAGAGGGGCGCGCGCCAGCCAGGGGAAAGGTCTGGGCTTATGATGGGGGTTCCCGGGAACTGCGAAGCCCCCTCCGCGCCCCCAGCCACTCCCCGGCGTTTCTCGCGGGCCCCCGCGCGGCCATCGCCATCTCCTACCTCCACACCTTCCTGAGACATGGTGGCGGCGGCCCAGATCCCCGCGAGGGTCCACACGGCGCGCCGGGCCGCCCAGCTACCTGGGCGCGCCCGTCGGTCCGGCCGCAGCGCAGGGCAGGGGGCGGCGCCTCAGGCCAGCCCGCCCTTCCTTCCTGGCCCCCTCTTTCGCTTTCGTTTCGGGGGGGGCGGGGCGCCTTGGCTCCGCCTTGGCTCAGCCCCTGCTCCTGCGCCCTAAACCCAGGCGGGCGCCCCTGGTCCGCGCCCTGCGGCGGAGCGTGCAGACCACGGGTAGGGAAGGCGGCGCGGCCTCTGCAGTCGGTCACATGTCCCACGCTGCGCGGGGTCCGCGTCTTCACGTCCCTCGTGGGGGCGGGGCCGCATCGGAAGGCCGCGGCAAGTGCCCGCACCTCCCCAGCTCGCCCCCCACCCCACCCCTCAGTTCATCAGTTTCCTCCCTTCCCTTCCTTCTCCTCCCCAGGAATCAGGCACTAATTAGGACCTGGGCCTCTTCCTAGCGCTGAGTCGCTCGCCAGACTATGACCCCTTCCTAAACCTCAGTTTACACTTCTGTAAAATGGGCATGTTAATGGTGGCTACATCCTGGTAAGAGGGCAGGGCACCCCGGGTAGAAAATTGAGCAGTGCCTGGCTCGTTGAGTTACGTACTGTGTGCCAGGTCCGAAGGGGCGGGTAGGCTCGGGTAGAGGTGCATGTTAAAAATACAGATCCCTGGTCCTTAGCAGCCCTTCGGAGTCAGGCTATCTGGGGCTCCTGCGAATCTGAGTTGTAAATCCGAAGGTTGAGAACGCTGTGGGCCAAGACAATTCTAACCCAGCACAGAGGACTGGAGGAGCCCTTAAGAGGGGCTCCGGCCCAGCAGGGGGCGTCAGCGATGGTTTCTTGGAGGAGGGGCAGGTTAGTACCGAGTGCCTGAAATTTGAGGTCTTAGCGAGGTGAAGAAGAGTAGGGGGAGAAAACAGCGCGTGGAAAGACCCTAGAAGCAATTGAGAGCTTGGTGCTTTGGACAGTTTCTCATGTTTGGCGCTTTCTCACCTTAGGCGCTATCGGCATTTGGAGCCAGATAGTTCTTTGTGGTAGGAGGCTGCTCTGTGAATTGTAAACTGGTTAGCAGCATCCCTGGCCTCTACCCACTTGATGCCAGTAGCATCCTTCCTCAGTTGTGACAATCAAACATGTCTCCAAACATTGCCATGTGTCCCCTAAGGTGCCGTCTTGGTCATCTAGTGCCGCTGTAATAGAAATACCACAAGTGGATGGCTTTAACAAAGAGAAGTTTATTCTCTCACAGTCTAGTAGGCTAGAAGTCTAAATTCAGGGCGTCAGCTCCAGGGGAAGGCTTTCTCTCTCTCTCTCGGCTCTGGAGGAAGGTCTGTGTCATCAGTCTTCCCTTGGTCTGGGAGCATCTCAGCGCAGGAACCTCAGGTCCAAAGGACGCGCTCTGCTCCCGGCGCTGCTTTCTTAGCGGTATGAGGTCCCTATGTCTCTCTGCTCGCTTTTCTCTTTTATATCTCAAAAGAGATTGGCTTAAGACACTATCTAATTTTGTAGACCTCATCAATATAACTGCCACTAATCCGTCTTACTACATAAGGAAATCATATCAGATGACAAAATGTAGACAATTATACAATACTGGGAATCATGACCTAGCCAAGTTGACACATATTTTTTGGGGACAGAATTCAGTCTATGACAGGTGCAAAATCACGTTAGGATAAAAGGCTCCGATTTTTTCCCATTTGTGCACCCCTATCGGTTAAAAAAAAAAAAAAAAAAATTCCCTGGGTGGTGCAAACTGTTTGCGCTAGTCTCCTAACCTAAAGGTTGGAGTTTGAACCCACACAGCAGCACTGTGGAAGAAAGGGCTGGCAATCTGCTTCCATAAAGATTATAGCCAAGAAAACCCTATAGAGTAGTTCTGCTTTGTAACACATGGAGTTGCCATGTTTTGTTTTGTTTTTATCAGTAAAAATGTTGATTCTCTATCCCCCATGTGGGTACTTAATTTATAAATTGTATACAAATACAACAGTACTAATATGTTCTGTATATTAGAAAAAAATAGAGATTAGGAATGTACATGTTTGAATGTTTTCTACTTGAACACCGAAAGTTGGTTTGTGGAGTGCATGCTCTGAACTCTGGAGACTACCCTGTTAGCAGCTGCAAGCAATTCCTGGTTCTCAGTCACTGACTAGGGTCAAGGAAGATCACAGGACATGACATTTGAGAGAAGACCTGACATTATCCACAAAGTGAAGAGACAACCTACAGACAGGGAGAAAAATTTTGGGAATCATACATCTGATAATGGCTTAATACCCCGAATAGACAAAGAACTCCTACAACTTAACAACAAAAAGATAACCCAATCAAAAAATGGGCAAGGGAGTTGAACGGGTATTTCACCAAAGAGGATATACAAATGGCCTACAAGCACATGAAAAGATGTTTGAGGGGAAACCTGAAAGAGGGGAGGGCGGGAGCTAGTGGCTATCTGGGAGAAGATAGTTCCAGGCAGAAGGAACAGCAAGTGCAAAGGCCCTGGGGTAGGAACATAGAACTGTTATCAGCAGTTGTATTAGTTGTTTATTACTGCACAACAAATCACCTCAAAACTTAGTGGCTTAAAACAGTAAACACTTAAGACCTCATACAGTTTTTGGGGTCAGGAGTCCAAGAGTGGCTTAGCTGGGCTGTCCTGGCTCAGGGTCTCTCATAAGATTGCAGTCAAGATGTTGGCCAGGGCTGTAGTCGTCTGAAGGTTTGACTGGGGCTGGAGGATCTGCTTTCAAGGTGGCTCATTCACATGGCTGGCAGGCTGGTGCTGGTTGTTGATGGCAGACCCCAGAGCAAGCATCCAAGAGAGGGAAAGCCAGGTGGAAGTTTTTATGACCTAGTCTTGGAAGTCACGTAACATCATCCTGCTACATTCTATATCTTAAAAGCGAGTCACTAGATCCAGCACACATTCAGGGAGAGAGGAATAAATACCCCAGCCTCTCTCTCCTCCCACCCTGCCTTCTTCTGCTAGAGTCTCTTATTGGCTGAACCCAGCTGGAAGCCAGAGGGCAAGAGAGCCCATTGGTGCAGTCAGCCTCTCAGGACACAGAGCAGAGCGATAGCACCCGCTTACCCTTGCCTCATTCCCAACAAGTCCCCTCTTGTCTAGGCTAGGGAGGTATCTCTCCAGATTCCAGTGTCCCCTATAACAGGGATTAGGATTTTCCTGGGTTTTAGGGGCAGGGACAAGGGGAGGAGGATGAGAGTAGATCTAGAAAGACAAACGGAAGATATGACCAGAGTATTGAATGTTGGCATTTGTGGATCAACAAAAAAACAAGCATTTCCAGCGATCACGTGGGGGCGCTGCCTACCCACCCACAATTCTGTTTGAGCTTTGTGACCATCTTGGTCTGGGCAGATGTGGCTTGCTTATGCAGTGAGCATTGCTACATTTTATCTTTTGTTTTTATAAAAGAGTGTGGAAAGGAAGAAAATGGAAGTGCTGAGACCAGTGATAAGAAGTGTAGCCTCCAACACTTTAGTGTAATTGAGTCAAAGATGGAATTCATTAGATCTATCCATTCAATTTCTCTCACCACATATCAAGTGCAGGCATGGTGTTGGGTGCATCCAAGAACAAGACACTGTTTCTGCCCTTCTGGAGTTCATGGTCTGCATGGGAAAGAGAAACATGAAGCAGATGATATCGCAAGTAAATGTTTAATTATATTTGTGATATATACCAAACGGTCGACATTCAGCCATTTCAGGAGGTAGCATATGATCAAGAACTGATGGTATTGAAGGAGGAGGAAGTCTAAGTTGCACTGAAGGCACTGATGAAAAACAAAGCTCCAGGAATTGATGGAATTACCAATTAAGATGTTTCAACAAATGCACTGGAGGTGCTCACTCATCTATGCCAAGAAATCTGGAAGACAGCTACTTGGCCAACTGACTGGAAGAGATGCATATTTGTGCCCGTTCCAAAGAAAGGTGATCTAATTGAATGCGGAAATTATTGCACAATATCATTAACATCACACACAAGTAAAATTTTGCTGAAGATTGTTCAAAAGCCATTGCAGCAGTTCATTGAGACGGAACTGCCAGAAGTTCAAGCCGGATTCAGAAGAGGACATGGAAT